CTCACCACTTACTCACCACTCACTCACCACTCACTCATTCACTCACCACTCACTCACCACTCACTCACTCAGTCACTCACTCACTCAGTCACTCACCACTCACACACTCAGTCACTCACTCACTCACTCACCACTCACTCACCACTCACACACTCAGTCACTCACTCACTCAGTCACTCACCACTCACTCACCAATCACTCACTCACACTCAATCACTCACTCACTCACTCAGTCACTCACTCACTCACCACTCACTCACCACTCACTCAGTCACTCACCACTCACTCACCACTCACTCACTCACCACTCACTCACCACTTACTCACCACTCACTCACCACTCACTCACCACTCACTCACCCACCCAGCCAGTCACTCACCACTCACTCACCACTCACTCACCCACCCAGCCACTCACTCAGTCACTCACTCACCACTCACTCACCACTCACTCAGTCACTCACTCACTCACTCAGTCACTCACCACTCACTCAGTCACTCACTCACTCAGTCACTCACCACTCACTCACCACTCACTCACTCACCACTCACTCACCACTCTCTCAGTCACTCACTCACTCACTCACCACTCACTCACTCACCACTAACTCACCACTCACTCACTCACCACTCACTCACCACTCACTCACTCATCACTCACTCACCACTCACTCACTCACTCACCACTCACTCACTCACCACTCACTCACCACTCACTCACCACTCACTCCCCACTCACTCACTCACTCACCACTCACTCACTCAGTCACTCACTCACTCACTCACCACTCACACACTCACACACTCACCACTCACTCACTCACCACTCACTCACCACTCACTCACCACTCACTCACACACTCACCACTCACTCACCACTCACTCACCACTCATTCACCAACTCACTCACCACTCACCAATTACTCACCACTCACTCACCACTCACTCACTCACTCACCACTCACTCACTCAGTCACTCACACACTCACCACTCAGTCACCACTCACTCACCACTCACTCACCACTCACTCACTCACCACTCACTCATCACTCACTCACCGCTCACTAACTCACCACTCACTCACCACTCACTCACACTCACCACTCACCACTCACTCACTCACCACTCACTCACCACTCACTCACCACTCACCCACTCACTCACCACTCACTCACCACTCACCCACTCACTACTCACTCACCACTCACTCACTCACTAACTCACTCACCACTCACTCACACACTCAGTCACTCACTCACCACTCACTCACCACTCACTCACTAACTCACTCACCACTCACTCACTCACACACTCACTCACTCACCACTCAGTCACTCACTCACCACTCACTCACCACTCACTCACCACTCACTCACTCACTCACCACTCACTCACCACTCACTCACTCACCACTCACTCACCACTCACTCACTCACCACTCACTCACACACTCACCACTCACTCACCACTCACTCACCCACTCACTCACTCATCCACCCACTCACCACTCACTCACCACTCACTCACTCACTCACCACTCACTCACCACTCACTCACTCACCACTCACTCACCACTCACCCACTCACTCACCACTCACTCACCACTCACTCACTCACCACTCACTCACCACTCACTCACCACTCACTCACTCACCACTCACTCACCACTCACTCACCACTCACTCACTCACCACTCACCACTCACTCACCACTCACTCACCACTCACTCACCACTCACTCACTCACTCACCACTCACTCACCACTCACCACTCACTCACTCACCACTCACTCACCACTCACTCACCACCCACTCACCACTCACTCACCACCCACTCACCACTCACTCACTCACTCACCACTCAGTCACTGACTCACTCACCACTCACTCACTCACCACTCACTCACTCACCACTCACTCACCACTCACTCACCACTCACCCACTCACTCACCACTCACTCACTACTCAGTCACTCACTAACTCACTCACCACTCACTCACTCACCACTCACTCACTCATCCACCCACTCACCACTCACTCACCACTCACTCACCACTCACTCACTCACTCACCACTCACCCACTCACTCACCACTTACTCACCACTCACTCACCACTCACTCACCACTCACCCACTCACTCACTCACTCACCACTCACTCACCACTCACTCACCACTCACTCAGTCACTCACTCACTCTCTCACTCACCACTCACTCACCACTCACTCACTCACCACTCACTCACCACTCACTCACCACACACTCAGTCACTCACTCACCACTCACTCACCACTCACTCACTCACTCACCACTCACCCACTCACTCACCACTCACTCACCACTCACTCACCACTCACTCACTCACCACTCACTCACCACTCACTCACACACTCAGTCACTCACTCACCACTCACTCACCACTCACTCACCACTCACCTAGGATTCCTGAACTCCTTCTTCTGCTGAATCACCACGTTCAGGTCGATTCCCTGATGGACCTTACGCTCGTACAGACGAACAATCTTCTCCTGCGGAGAGAGTGGGGGGAGAGTGGTGGGGGGAGAGTGGTGGGGGGAGAGTGGGGGGGGGGGGAGAGTGGGGGGGGGGAGAGTGGTGGGGGAAGAGTGGTGGGGGGAGAGTGGGGGGGGGGGAGAGTGGCAGAGTGAGGGGAGACAGGGAGAGACACACAGAGAGAGACACACAGAGAGGCACAGAGAGACACAGAGACACACACAGAGAGACACAGGGAGACACACAGAGAGAGACACACAGAGAGACACAGAGAGACACAGAGACACACACAGAGAGACACAGGGAGACACAGGGAGACACAGAGAGAGACACAGAGAGAGACAGAGACACACAGAGAGACACAGAGAGAGACAGAGAGACACACAGAGAGAGACAGAGACACACAGAGAGACACAGAGAGACACAGACACAGGGGGACACAGAGAGACACAGAGACACACACAGAGAGACACAGAGAGAGACACAGAGAGACACAGGGAGACACAGAGAGACACAGGGAGACACAGAGAGACACAGGGGGACACAGAGAGACACAGGGAGACACAGAGAGACACACAGAGACACAGGGAGACAGACAGGGAGACACACAGAGACACAGAGAGACACAGAGAGACACAGGGGGACACAGAGAGACACAGAGACACACACAGAGAGACACAGAGAGAGACACAGAGAGACACAGGGAGACACAGAGAGACACACAGAGAGACATAGAGAGACACAGGGAGACACACAGAGACACAGAGAGACACACAGAGACACAGGGAGACACAGAAAGACATAGAGAGACACACAGAGACACAGAGAGAGACACACAGAGACACACAGAGACACAGGGAGACACACAGAGACACACAGAGACACAGGGAGACACAGGGAGAGACACAGAGAGACACAGAGAGACACACAGAGAGACACAGAGAGACACAGATAGAGACACAGAGAGACACAGAGAGACACACAGAGAGACACAGAGAGAGACACAGAGAGAGACACAGGGAGACACAGAGAGACACACAGAGAGACACACAGAGAGACACAGAGAGAGACACAGGGAGACACACAGAGACACAGGGAGACACAGAGAGACACACAGAGACACACACAGAGAGACACAGAGAGACACACACAGAGAGACACACAGGGAGACACAGAGAGACACAGAGAGACAGAGACACACAGAGAGACACAGAGAGAGACAGAGACACAGAGACACAGGGAGACACATAGAGACACACAGAGACACAGGGAGACACATAGAGACACACAGAGACACACGGAGACACAGAGAGACACACACAGAGAGACACAGAGAGACACACACAGAAAGACACAGAGAGAGACACAGAGAGACACAGGGAGACACAGAGAGACACACAGAGACACACAGAGACACAGGGAGACAGACAGGGAGACACACAGAGACACAGAGACACACAGAGAGACACAGAGAGATACAGAGAGACACAGGGGGACACAGAGAGACACAGAGAGACACAGAGACACACACAGAGAGACACAGAGAGAGACACAGAGAGACACAGGGAGACACAGGGAGACACAGAGAGACACACAGAGAGACACAGAGAGAGACACAGAGAGACACAGGGAGACACAGAGGGAGACACACAGAGACAAAGGGATACACGGAGAGACACAGGGAGACACACAGAGAGACACAGAGAGACACAGAGAGAGACACAGAGAGACACAGGGAGACACAGAGGGAGACACAGGGAGACACAGGGAGACACACAGAGACACAGGGAGACACAGAGAGACACAGGGAGACACAAAGAGAGACACAGAGAGACACAGGGAGACACACAGAGAGACACAGAGAGACACAGGGAGACACAGGGAGACACACAGGGAGACGCAGAGACACAGGTAGAAACAGGGAGACACACAGAGACACAGAGAGACACAGGGAGACACACAGAGACACAGGGAGACACACAGAGACACACAGAGACACAGGGAGACACACAGAGACACAGGGAGACACACAGAGACACAGGGAGACACACAGAGACACAGGGAGACACACAGAGACACAGGGAGACACAGGGAGACACAGGAAGACACAGGGAGACACACAGAGACACAAGAGACACAGGGAGACACAAGAGACACAGGGAGACACATGGAGACACATGGAGACACACAGAGACACACAGAGACACAGGGAGACACAGGGAGACACAGGAAGACACAGGGAGACACACAGAGACACACAGAGACACAGGGAGACACATGGAGACACATGGAGACACACAGAGACACACAGAGACACACAGAGACACAGGGAGACACAGGGAGACACAGGGAGACACACAGAGACACAGGGAGACACAGAGAGACACAGGGAGACACAGAGACACAGAGAGAGACACAGACACAGGGAGACACACAGAGACACACAGAGACACAGGGAGACACACAGAGACACAGGGAGACACAGGGAGACACAGAGACACAGAGACACAGGGAGACACAGGGAGACACAGAGAGACACAGGGAGACACAGAGACACACAGAGACACAAGGAGACACACAGAGACACAGGGACACACAGGGACACACAGAGAGAGACACAGGGAGACACAGGGAGACACAGAGAGACACAGAGACACACAGAGACACACAGAGACACAGGGAGACACACAGAGACACACAGAGACACAGAGAGACACAGGGAGACACAGAGAGACACACAGAGACACACACAGAGAGACACAGAGAGACACACACAGAGAGACACACAGGGAGACACAGAGAGACACAGAGAGACACAGAGAGACACAGGGACACACAGGGACACACAGAGAGAGACACAGGGAGACACAGGGAGACACAGAGAGACACAGAGACACACAGAGACACAGGGAGACACACAGAGACACACAGAGACACAGAGAGACACAGGGAGACACAGAGAGACACACAGAGACACACACAGAGAGACACAGAGAGACACACACAGAGAGACACACAGGGAGACACAGAGAGACACAGAGAGACACAGAGAGACAGAGACACACAGAGAGACACAGAGAGAGACAGAGACACAGAGACACAGGGAGACACAGGGAGACACAGAGAGACACAGAGACACACAGAGACACACAGAGACACATAGAGACACAGAGAGACACAGGGAGACACAGAGAGACACAGGGAGACAGAGAGACACACAGAGACACAAGGAGACACACAGAGACACAGGGACACACAGGGACACACAGGGACACACAGAGAGACACACAGAGACACAGGAAGACACAGGGAGACACAGAGACACACAGAGACACAGAGAGACACAGAGAGACACACAGAGACACAGAGAAACACACGGAGACACAGGGAGACACATAGAGACACACAGAGACACAGGGAGACACACAGAGACACAGGGAGACACAGGGAGACACACAGAGACACAGAGAGACACAGAGACACACACAGAGAGACACAGAGACACAGGGAGACAAAGAGAGACACACGGAGACAAAGAGAGACACACGGAGACACAGGGAGACACAGAGAGACACAGGGAGACACAGAGAGACACAGAGAGACACACAGAGACACAGAGACACAGGGAGACACAGGGAGACACAGGGAGACACAGAGAGACACAGAGAGACACACAGAGACACAGAGAGACAAAGAGAGACACACGGAGACACAGGGAGACACAGAGACACAGGGAGACAGGGAGACACAGGGAGACACAGGGAGACACAGAGAGACACACAGAGACACAGGGAGACACAGAGAGACAGGGAGACACAGGGAGACACAGAGAGACACACAGAGACACACAGAGACACAGAGAGAGACACAGGGAGACACAGAGAGAGACACAGGGAGACACAGGGAGACACACAGAGAGACACACAGAGACATAGAGAGACACAGAAAGACACACAGAGACACACAGAGACACAGGGAGACACAGGGAGACACAGGGAGACACAGGGACACACAGGGACACACAGGGAGACACACAGAGACACAGGGAGACACACAGAGACACAGAGAGAGACAGAGACATAGGGAGACACAGAGAGACACAGGGAGACAGAGAGACACAGGGAGACACAGGGAGACACAGGGAGACACACAGAGACACACAGGGAGACACAGGGAGACACAGAGAGACACAGAGAGACACAGAGAGACACACAGACACACACAGAGAGACACAGAGAGAGACAGACACAGGGAGACACAGGGAGACACAGAGACACACAGAGACACACAAAGACACAGAGAGAGAGAGACAGAGAGACACAGAGAGACACAGAGAGACACACAGAGAGACACAGGGAGACACACCGAGACAGACAGAGAGACACAGGGAGACACAGGGAGACAGGTAGACACACGGAGACAGAGAGAGATACAGAGATACAGAGAGACACACACAGAGACACACAGACACACACAGAGACACAGAGAGACACAGGGAGACACAGGGAGACACAGGGAGACACACAGAGACACAGGGAGACACAGGGAGACACAGGGAGACACACAGAGACACACAGAGACACAGGGAGACACACAGAGACACAGGGAGACACAGGGAGACACACAGAGACACAGGGAGACACAGAGAGAGACAGAGAGACACAGAGAGACACACAGACACACACAGAGAGACACAGAGAGAGACAGACACAGGGAGACACAAAAGACACGGAGAGACACAGAGACACACAAAGACACAGAGAGAGAGACAGAGAGACACAGAGAGACACAGGGAGAGACACAGGGAGACACAGGGAGACACACCGAGACAGACAGAGAGACACAGGGAGACACAGGGAGACACACGGAGACAGAGAGAGATACAGAGATACAGAGAGACACACACAGAGACACACAGACACACACAGAGAGACACAGAGAGACACAGGGAGACACAGGGAGACACAGGGAGACACACAGAGAGACAGAGAGACACAGGGAGACACAGGGAGATACA